AAATAACACCCTTAGCTAAGCATAACATGGAGGAGCCTACAATGCAGCAACCTACAGACTTTTATTGTTAGATGCGACCATACCTGAGTTATGTTGACACAACAAGTAGTTTCTTCAAAGGTCAAACTTTCAATCCTAAGAACATACAACTATAGCATGGTGTTGGTAGCATCTTGTGTTGAAATGTTTTGCTGTCAGATATTTTGACACATTTTGCAAATGTGATAGTTTGGCAATGAAGGGCTACCTCAAAATCCTCAACATTTTTCTTATGTCAATAACTTTATGTTGAAACTTGGATGAATTGTGGTTCGAAATGGAAAATATACTAAACACACTTAAAAACTGGACTTGGAGTGGATAAAGGAGCCTAACATTAGGCTTCTGGTCTGTAATCTTAAGTCTATTGAATATTTGTGAATTAAGCATCAAATTTGTTGAAAAGGTATTGCAGATTTTCTTTTATGATACTGCTAACTGTGGCCAAAACATAGAACTGCAGCACTCTTTTGCTCGCCGCAGCTTGCGCTCATACTTGATAATGGCCATTGCTGATTTGAGGTGGTTGCCGGTTGCTTCTGAGTAATTAGAATACATATCTTGAATATAACACCTCCATTTTATGCTAGGTCGGACCAATTTAACATGGACAAACTTGAAGTCACATCCGCAGAAGAGAGAGGGAACTTCCGACCTAAAGTGCACTCAGGGAAGAAAATAGGGTACAGGCTTATAGATGCATTAGTGCTGAACCACTGAGGTGTCAATATGATCATTAAACATTTTAGCCATAAGAGGTCAAATAAATGTACCGGTATTTATTTCTATTTTTTTGTAAAAGTCTCTTTAATACGATTTATCAAATATCCAACCTCTTATGCAAGAGGTTTTTAATGGTTGCATAAAGGACACGTTTTTTAAAACTTGAATTTAGACACAATATGGAATATTTCTTTTCTATTCTGGCAATGTCTAATTTGCTACTACCTATTAAATTATCTAATTATAAGCCTTTCTTTATCATTTTAACCATAGGGGGTTTCAACTTTTGTACCCAGGTTTGTCATAACTTCACTCTGAAAATTTAAGTGAAATAAATTTTTCTGTAGAATAAGTGAATTTTGTAACCGTATATTTTATCAGTAAAGGAGAAAGATTTGTTTTATTATTCAGCCTTATATTTTTCCATCCTGCATGTTAAAATGAGTGGACTTACCTACACCACCTTTAGGCAACCCAATCCCGTCCCTGTTGCAACATCACACTTAATGGGCTGTCATCCTGTTCCTCTCTTAGCGAGCTGCCAATTGACTGGCCAGCAGATTTGATCACAGGGGAATAGCCTCCGGCTGTGGGAGACATCATCAATGCTTCGCCAGCCACATATCATTCAAGACAAAATATAACCCCGGTGTTCCTTTCTGCAGATAAGAGGGGGGGGGGGGGGGGGGAATCCAGTTTTTCATTTCAAACAGAAGTAAATTCCTCAATTTTCAATGCTTTAATGAGAATCTGAGAATTACCGCCTCTCTTCCTCATCCCAGTAGCTAAATATTAGCTGCCTGACCTCTGTGACTCTGACTTTTTTTTTCAGCTCTAGACTCCAACTTACAGACCTTAAACACGACTTAACGCAATTATATCCAATAAAAACTGTAACATCAGTTCAGGTATAATCATTCCTCACATTGTTGAGGGTAAGGAAGCCTTCTATCTTGCCTTTAATACCTGGTTGCTTCGATTTGTGGTAATCGACAGGTCAATGCCAGGTCCCCTGTCATATCCGCCAGTGTAATCACAGTAATTTACTGCTGCATAAAGGGTTGGGATTTTTCAATGCATTGTCGGGGAAATTGGCAGCAGTCACATACAGAGCATTATAGCAGGGATCTCTTGCAACCAGGTGGCAATTACAAGCCGTCACAGTCTAAAGCCCAGCAGATGCACTTTATCATGGTTTGTCAACTTGTATGCATCTATCGCATTCAAGCAGGGAGAAGAAATACCAGTAATTTTGGTGTGGACCACACTGCTTGCAGCAAGCAGATAAATCATATTTGGATCCTTACCAGTGCGCTACTGGCTAGATGACTTTTCTTCCCCCTTTTTTTAAATGCTCATGGAATCTTCTGGTACCTTATGGAGTGAAATTTGTTCAAAGATTGTTGCAAGAAAAGGTTTTGTAAATGAAACATTTCAGAAATAAACACTTAAAAAAATCTTAATCAAAAACTGTTACTGTTAATTAATTTTACATATTTTTTTAGGTTTTTTTCTAATTTTATTTTTTCAAATGTTACTTTTCTAGTTTGAGTTTTACAATTTGCTTATTTTTTTGCTTTTCAAATAGCTCATTACAGATCACCTTCTCTTCTTGGGGCAAGCTTTTCTGTGGAGTGAGGAAGGAAGATGCATTTTTTATAGGTCTGCATGAACTTTAGAAACATTTCCTTTGGTCCATTATTTAGTCAGAGCGAAGGTTTGAATTGGGCTTGAAGTTAAGTAAATATGATCTGCGAAACACAATTTGAAAGAATGCTATTCATAAAACTAGGAGAAATTTTAAAAAATGTGTAAATATATATTCAGTAAATAAGAAAAATTAAAAACATTCAAAAAACATTTGACATTTAGTTATTCAGAAAAGAAGTTTCTCAAAATTTCATTCGTGATTTACATTTTTTCAAATTTCCATTTAAAAAAAGTATGTTTTCTTTGCTTGAAGCAATAATCAAACAAAATTCACTACATAATGCCTCGTTAAGCTCAAGCATTTTGTTTTACATACAAAGACAATCTGGGTGTTCTGAAACACAAATGAAAAACAAAAAAAAAGTCTGCTACTGAATAAGTTTTCTGTCTAATTTTTTTTTTCTTTTTTGAAGCAATATAAAATGTTTCTGTAGACTTTCCAGGGTTATTGACTTCATTCTTTAAGCTGAGCCCTGAGCAATAGGCTCTTATTCTGTCCAGATCAGAAACAGGAGATCCTTCCTGCCAACAGATTTTACCATCTACAAAACCCCTTTAAAGAGTTACAACAGCTTTTAATTTCCCTTTGGGAACAAAAAAACTGTTTTAGAACTGAACCGACTTTAATTATTATCACTTTAGTGATGGACACACAATTTATTTCACATCATACTTTTAATTGGCTATTGAATGCCTTGTTGCATCTTCTAATGTCCAGTCTTCTAAAAATGTACAGCAGCAAAAATCTAACTTTTTAAAACCAGTAATAGTTTTTTATGATGTTTATTTGATGACTGTTGTTCTTAATTAAACAGAGTTTATTTTTTTCAACTAGAATAACCAACCAACCAAACTGTATATTATATGTGTTTAATGTAATGTCAATAGTTGAACACCAGTGAACTTAATAAGGATTTGTTTTGTGATGCATTTCTAATTTAAATGTAACCCGTGTAGATAATGATGTTTCAGTTAAGAGGTGATGCTACTAACCCCTAGGGGGAATCTTTCTGTACAAATCAGTTTAATTAGGAGGCTACAAAGTGGTTCTACTGTAAATACATTTTTGTCAGCTTATGAGTGGCTCTGGCTTCCTTTTAATTTTACTTTTAGAAGTTCTCTATAGAGTTTGGCTCTCATCCATATTGGTTTTTTTTTTGCTTGTTTGTTTTTTCAGAGGTAGTTTGGTGCAGTTAATAACTGAAAAAATTAGAAATGAGTAAAATATTTCTTAAATTAGGTATTTACCCTGAATTTAAGTAAGTAAATAAGATGATCCGCTAATGGAATAAGTATTTTTACTCTTAAAATAAGATAATTAGATAATATAAACTTAAAATAAGAAAATGCAATAGTCTTTTCTTATTGTAAATGTAAATTGTCTTGTTCCATTGGCAAAGTGTTTCACTTACCTCCGTAACTCAAGACAAAATGCACTCATTTAAATAAAAAATGACTTATTTAGATTAACATTTTTTTCAATGTGTAAACCTATAATTAGACCATCGACTGTTCTGTTGCCACACAAAATTGGGTCATAAACACACAAAGATGATCATTTTTTAGCATTTTAATCAAATCAGAAGCCCTATGTCCTCATCTTGATGTATTAAAAAAATAGATTATTATCCTTCTAGATCACACCTGTACTCCTGCCTAGCTTCAAGCTCAACACCATATCCTGGCCTCCTGTTTCTACCCTGTTATGATTTTCAGTAATGTTAAGACATTAAAGCCTTTTTACAAAATGAGTCAGCGGCTCATTATTGCTATTCACCTCATCTACTTTGTGTGAATATTATAAAGCCTTTCATCTAAGCTTCTTGCTCATTAACAATTGCTGTATTATTTTTTTCTCTCCAAGTCCTGTTCTCTGGTGATTCACGATGCTGCTAATGAGGCAGAGGTAGAGATATTTGTCTGGCATTTAGAGCAAAATATGTGAATCATAAAAAAAACAGCGTACAAAGTTTTCTTGCGTGTTGTGTGGCAGAAATAGTCGGGGGTCATTGCACTCTTGTGTGTCTTTTTTTTCATGCCCAATCAAGCCCAGCAGCGGGCTGTAGCTCCATTTGTGATTGACTGGGAAGGGCAGCAGAGGTGGGGAGGAGGAAGGGAGGAAATGAGAGGAGAAGAGATCGTTTTGGCTGCGATCAGGCGTTACCTGGCTGTGACAGCTCTCGTCTCTCTCAACAGCTGAGGCTTGTCACAGCTGCTGATGTCCTGCTGTGTTGCACCGCACATGAATAATCAACTGCATGCATGCCGGCTCCATCTCACTCACACAAACATGCGTGCACAGATGCCCCCTGTTGGCTCCGTTCTGCTTACTCACTGTGACCAGGAGGTTGGAGGCAGTTTACAAGCAAAACCAGAGGCAGACTGCTCTATAGTCCAAGATGTCAGAGTTCTCCCTCAAGTTTTTTCTTACAGTCTCATGAAATATGGAGCTCTGTGATTTTTTTTGCTCATTGAAATGAAGAGACCGGAATTATAAAATTTTATGATCCTGCTTCATGTAATTTCAGAACGGAGTCGGTTGCTGAGAAGATGCTCACAAACTGGTTCGCCTTCCTGCTTCACAAATTCCTGAAGGTTAGTGCTACTACAAATCTGTACTGCTTATATATGCACATATAAATGGATCTTTGTTTTATTGAACCCCTAAGATTAACCATTTGATTATGCAGTTAGTGTTTTCAGTTTGATGAGGTTTTGTTTTTCTGTTTTTTGCCTTGGTGCTCTGTCATGTGTGAACCTGTGGGTTTGTCTGTCTGTTTGTGCTTGTTTGTGCTCACAGGAGTGTGCAGGGGAGCCGCTGTTCATGCTGTACTGCGCCATCAAGCAGCAGATGGAAAAGGGGCCCATTGACGCCATCACCGGAGAGGCCCGCTACTCCCTGAGCGAGGACAAGCTCATCCGCCAGCAGATCGAGTACAAAACCTTGGTACGTCACACACCAGCAGACATGGCAGAAGTTTGCCAAAAGGCTCGCAGACACGATCAAACATGGAGCTACCGAGCTGACAGATGCTTATAGTTGATTTTGTCTTAAATTAGGGACAACAGAAACGGCATCAGGGCTTAATTTTATTTCACATTTTTAATTTCTAAGATAAACCATGACTGTAAATCAAAGTGAAAGTTTTTCACAATTGTCACTTTAAAGACATAAACTCTAAAAAATTTATATCATAGAACAACATAGTTGCGAATCTGATCGAAACGTTGTTGTTTTATTTTTATTTTTTTAAAATAAACATTAGAAACAATTGCTAAACTTTGATACCACGAAATTCAATTTGGAGCGGTCAATCACTTTTAACATGTGCCTATTGGGCAGATATTTGTTGAAATGTTTTTAGGAAAAAAAGATCCTGAAAACCAAAGAACAGAGCAGAAGTATCAGGAACGAGCTTAAAGGAATAGTACACCCAAAACATGATTAGCCTTCATTTTCTACTCACCCCCATGCTGAACAACACTCTGGAGTACTTTTTTGATATCTCAAATGCATCTGGAGATCTGGGAGGCTTCTTGCTGTCTGCTGACATTCAAATAATGGAGGTCTATGGCGCCCGAGGCAGAAAGGTCCATAAAAGTCCACAAAAAACGTGTCAATATTCCTCCATACTGCTCGTCCAATGTATTCCAAGTGTCCTGAGTGGGTAGCATCCAGAATTTAGTCGAAACTAAGTCATTTAGAATGTTTTTAGAGCATAAACAGTAGTGTATAAGATTTCCTGAAAGCGCGCACATGCGCGATCACGACGCTACGGAAGCCGGCAGACCAAACCAGATGAAAGTGCGCATTCAGCGTCTGCTCTGCCAATAATGCAAGCGTAGAAGAAGAAATGTGCTGTTTACCTGTGCAAAGAAAGAAACAACGAAAGAAAAATGTCTGAGGACTTCAGTGTTGAGGAAGAGCATGAGTTCTTTGCCGAGCTGAATGCGCTGGTTTGGTCTGCCGGCTTCCGTAGCGTCGTGAACGCGCATGTGCGCGCTTTCAGGAAATCCTATACACTACTGTTTATGCTCTAAAAACATTCTAAATGACTTAGTTTCGAGTAAATTCTGGATGCTACCCACTCAGGACACTTGGAATACATTGGACGAGCAGTATGGAGGAATATGGACACGTTTTTTGTGGACTTTTATGGACCTTTCTGTCTCGGGCACTATAGACCTCCATTATTTGAATGTCAGCAGACAGCAAGAAGCCTCCCAGATCTCCAGATGCATTTGAGATATCAAAAAAGTACTCCAGAGTGTTGTTCAGCATGGGGGTGAGTAGAAAATGAAGGCTAATCATGTTTTGGGTGTACTATTCCTTTAAGGAAACCGTTTAAAGCAAAGTTAGGTATTAAAACGTCCCCAAAACTCAATAATAACTCAATAAGAGTTAAAAAAAATAAATAAATAAAAATGGAAGGAGTGTGCCCTTGCTAAAAACATACAAAAATCATATTTCAACAGCTTACAATCGGAGAGATGCACCAATTAATCCATGCACCACACAATCAGTCAGTCTGGCAAGGTTCAATACTCTCCTGTCTAACAGAGACGTTAACCAATCACAGCGAGGGAAGCAGTCTCCTAACGCAGCAGTGCTTTTCTGTAATTATACAGTAGCAGCCACTCAAAATGGCCATTCCCAATCAAACGCCAGCCGAATATCAGCCCACTTCCCTGCAACTCCCAGCAAAGTCCCCTCCAACTACCAGCCACTGGAGTGACCCCTCCTTCTCCTGGGCGTTTATATGGTTTTTACTCTGGCTCCACCCTTTCACCCTGGTTCTAACCAGGTGAAGGTGCTTCTCTTTAGATCTTAATGTCCAAAAATCATGACAGAAAGAATATTTTAGTACAAAGATTGATGTTTCAAAAGGAATTGTAGGGGACCAGCCAAGGAACAGCCAAGGGCCCATCAAGGAAAGTGGGGACATTTTGAATGGCTACTACTTTAACAGTCAAGATAGCAGCTGCTTAGCTGCAATGTTGTAGTGATGTCTTTTATTGAACCGAAACAGCTGATGACTATGTTGATATTTCAAAAACTGTCCTCTGTGAAAGCTTTAAAAAAAAAAAAAAAAAAAGAGAATATAGGTATTTTTGTTAAATCCATACATGTATCTGATTAGTTCTAAATTGTTTCCGCTGACTCTGTTAGTCTTTTGAAATATGCCTCTATCCACTACTTTTCAGACTGATATGTCGTGTTTCAGGCTACTGTAGCAAGCCACAGATGAGGGGAGGGAATCTGTCCCGCCGGCAACTGTTTGATACTTGTGGTGCACAAATCTGACTTTTAATTTTTAATAAACTGGAGAGAAGAAAGCTATTTCAGAAAGAAACAAAAAACTAATTAAAGACGTAAAGAAGTAAGGAAGTGGCCTTGGGTGACGAGGCCAAATTAGAGGTTTCTGTGGCTTTTGTGCAGTACATGCAAAATGCATTGTACATGTGGTCAAATACTGCACATAAACCCGAAGCCTATATTTCCATAGTTAAACATGGTGGTGGCCCCAGAAGGCTGGTCAGTGTTTCTGAAACAATGGATCTAGCTAAATACTAAAAAGATAAGATGGAAGTTTACTGCCCACAAAGATGGAAATGTAGATTAAATAATCTCAAAAGCCTCCAATAAAACATTATATCATAAATATTTCACATATTGTTCAATATGACATTTAGAGCATTATGAAAGGGCCAAAAAATAGTAATTTGGTGCATTACATTAGATTATAAGATGCTCTAAATATGACAGATCAAAATGTTCAATTTTAACATGTGTGAAAACATTCAAAGGGCTTAAATACTTTTGTAGAGCAATTCACCTGTATTTCACTTCTCTACCATGGGGGGGGGGGGATAGCGATTACTCCAACAGGACGTCCTGTTGGTCCAACATCAAGGTAGGTGTTTATAGACAAACCTCTCCTCACTTAATAAAATGAGCGGACAGAAAAAAAGGAAGCCTCTCACACAACCAGCATGGGACATGACAATGCTCTGATTGCTCTGACGGGGAATTTGGCTCATTACGTGCTAATACCCCAGCAGTGCTGGAAATTGGTGTCCCGCCGAAGATGTGAAATTAGATTTTGGGATGCCAGTAAGAGCGGAAATGGTTTCTCAAAGCTCCTGCTATGCTCCTAGGCTACTATAATGAGGGAAAAGCCTCAAGCTGGACCTGCGTCCACTCAGAAACAAGGGGCCGCCATCTTTTATTATTATTATTTTTTTAACCAATGCTTCTCTCTCTCTTTCTCTCTCTGTTTTCTCTCATTTTATAATCCAGATCCTGAACTGTGTAAACCCAGACAACGAAAACAGTCCAGAGATCCCTGTGAAGGTGCTGAACTGCGACACGATCACTCAAGTGAAGGAGAAGATACTTGATGCTGTTTACAAGAACATGCCCTACTCTCAGCGGCCGCGGGCCGTCGACATGGACCTAGGTACAGACACAAACACACAGATGCAACTAACAGGTTTAGAGTCCTTTGCACCTCAAGAGTTAGGTATTAGTATGAGAACACCTATCAGTACATCAGCGTGATAAAGCTGTGATTCAGCAGCCCAGCCAGTCTTGATGTGCTGCTTTAAAGAAAATGATGGACGATGTGTGGAGCATCCCTCAGACTGGCTGGCTTCCCACGCCTGGCGGTGCCAACAACCAGCCTCAATAGATTTAAATAGAGAACTGGTCTCATCTGTTAATGCATTTTTTTATATCCGTGACGTGGCCATCCAGGTAAGAGCTGACCGTCTGGCTCATCTGCGTGGAAATGAATTCCACTCCCACACAGTCTACCACTGCCATCCTCTGTTCTGCTAGCCTCCAATCAGTCTGTTCATTGCCACAATTTCTTTGAAGTTCACACAAGCATAGAGAACAATAATTCCCCCCAACCATGCTTATTTCAAATATGTCCCTACAACTGCTGTCTGATAATTGCTTAAAAGTGATTGCATCTGGGTGAGGCTGTCTGCAGTGTACCGTTTTCTTTATAACTCAGATTGGAGCGTAGATTAGGCTTTGAGGAAATGTTGTGCCAGACAGAGGCATCATGTGGTCATCTGGCAGAGACACAAAGCAATACAAATCCAGCCAGCATGGGGAAAATCAGTGATCATTCCCAGTATGTGGCCCACATTGATTATCTACCTCCCTGTGACCACTATTATCATTCTATTGCTACTCAGTCACGCCCTCCACCAATGTTACTTGATGTTTTTATTTGTTCTTTATCTTTTTTGTTTTTTTATAAAGAAACTACTTTTTTCTGAGCTTCCTTCTCAATCCGATCTTTTTCTCCTCCCCTCAGTGATGCGTCTGCTTCTGTATATGTGACACATGTAATAATCAAAGCATGCAGGCTGCCTAAATACATCTTTTAAATGTTCTTGTGAAATATTAAATTAACATTCTTATTGATCCCTGTCTGATGCAAAACACGAATTCTGCAGATATTTCCTAATTTGTGTGCCTCCACATAGATTTGTCTCCTACTGTGTTTTTAACATATTGCATCTTCTGTGGCTCTGCTCAGCCTGCCCCTAAACTTTGAGACATCTGGTGAATCTGATGATATTTGCAAAATATGTTTGAAAACGTTTATGGTAAAACAGCTACTGGCCTTTAGGTAGACATGTTTTTAGTAATCCAAAAAATAAAAATTTTTCAGGTATAGTATTTAAGAAGAAAAGTTGGGAACCTTAATCATATATCGGAAATCGCTTATATTCTGTATTACACTTAATCATACTAAGAAAGTAAATATGCAATTTTTTTCCGATTTGCTTAATTTTTAACTAAATCTTCATAAAAGTTTATCATTTTTATTTTTACAACAAACCAACTTTTGCAAACTCATGTCTTTGTTTTATGTATTTCTATTTTATAATAAGAATTTCACAGTATTTTTTAATGGAAATGCACCTCTGACCATTTAGTTAGGAGACTAAAACACTTGCAGACAGTTGCCTACAAGGAGTTCAAAGGAAACATGTTACATTCCAGCTTTAAATATAACCAAGTTTACTTCAATTCAGTTCAGTTCCAAAATAATGTATTGATCCTACAGCGAAATAACAGCTTTTTATAACATTTTAGGAAGGGTTAGGGTTGGCACTGTATCTGAGGGAATCTTTGAATTTACACACTTTTAAGAGGATGCTCACCGTCATCCATAATGTCCTTCATTTTATGAACAATTCTTCTTGGTGAAATCTTTAGTGGATCTAGTGGAGTTCCTAAACTAGAGCAAACTTTCTTTTTAGCTTGTTCAGTCACTTCCTGTGATGCTGTTACCCAGCAGATGATGGCAGACAAGATCATACTCTGTACAACAGATTTATAGAAAATATGCAGCATCTTGCTTGAAAACTAAAGGACCTAAGCCTCTTTACTTCTCAAAGTCTGTCCTGTCCCTTCTTTATAAACTCCTTAACAGTTGCATCTCCAGTTGAATTTGTTGTCAGACTGAACACCAAGATGTTTATTAGTTTAGCATTAATATTATGCCACAATTTTGTTTAATAGTTCCAGTCTATAGCATATTTCTTTCCTGGCACGGACTCTATTTGCTCATAAAAATAAATGTATTGCTATTTTTTTCTTGTCCAGTGTGTGTATGGAGACTGTCCTCTTAATGCATCTTGAAGGAGTCTAATCTCATCATGTCCTTGAGGAGTTGGCCAGGCAAACCTCAGTCTAGTCATCATTGTTCAAAGTTCTCCAGGAGCGTAACACGTCTAGCTACTAAACAAATGTCCTCCAAGTCATGTTGCTGATAAAAGCAAAATTCAGAAGGATGGTTGCACCACTGCATCTTTTCATGGAACCGACAGCTTGCAATGCAAAGGTTGTCCTTCCCCGGAAACAGCTGGAGCCACCTCAAGAAAAAAAGCAGATCCCCCCACCAAGGGAGGGAAGGTGTTGTACAAGTCAGCTAATGAAGAACTCAAAGAGAGTAAAACAGGGGAGCTGAAAGTGTCAATTTTACAGGAAGTAACTTTACATTAAAGGTACAACAACAGGAGAAAAACACTTTGACATTTAAATTTTATTTTCAAATTTCAAATCTGCGACACCCCAAGTTAATAATATCTAACGTATATTTGTCTTTGACTGTATTATGTTCTTCTTTTTCCAAAACTGAACCCCATAAAAATAACTTTGTTTTGCTTTTGTCATCAGAGTGGCGTCAGGGTCGAATGGCTCGAGTTGTGCTGCAGGATGAAGACATCACCACTAAAATTGAAAACGACTGGAAAAGACTTAACACACTCTTGCACTACCAGGTAAGCACTTAGATCACTTCTGTCTGTTGTTTTTTTCACCCAATTTACTGTCAAACGTCTTCTTCTTCTTCTTTTTTTTTTTTTTTTTTGTAAAGAAATGTCCAACTTCTCCTTTTGGGTTTTATTATGGAAATTGTTCCACCCACACAAGCAAACTTTGATATTTCCAGCTCTTGACTTTAATGCAGCCCAATTTTCAATCTCTCATTTGCATGCTTATAGCTGGTGCACTCTAAGTGACTCACAGAATAGAGGACAATTACTGTACAGGTGGCAGAAGAGGTGAATTCTCAGCATCACAGCTGACATTTCACCCTCCTCCCTGGAAAGATAAGGCGACAGGAGCAAGGCATCTCTTTACTTCTCTCTCCTTCTCACTCCATCCCTGGCTGTTCATTCCTTCACCGGTAGCAATTTGTCCTCCTTTAGGGGCACAAGTTCATTTTCCACCCTCTGTTTAATAGACAGAAAAATAGTGAGCTAAAGAGGAGGAAAATAAAAAAAGATAACCAGAGGTCTGCAGTTTTCAGGTACATTCATGGCGGATGAGAGATGAAAAGCTCAAATTTAAGATGGTGCAGGTTAGGGGAAGTTATTAAAGAAGAGTAAAGGAAGATAAGGACAGAAAAACGGGAAAGAGATGGGAAGTTGGCCATCTCCACAGGTCATGAATCTTTTACAGCGTCCCATCAGCCGTTCGTCATTAGTGGCCAAAGGGTGCCATCTGTCTAAAAGACTGCGTGAGCTTTGATTCAAGGCTACCTGCTGAAGGAGCAGAGGCTGTGGCAGTGACACAGCTTTGGTTCGAATCAGAGATCAATACTGCACAGCCAGGAGACGCCAGTAAAAAGGAATGAGATGGCAAAGCTGAAACCCTCGCAACAGGGAGCTCATGTGAACTGCGGCCCCACAGGAACAGTGGGAGTTACTTAGCAGATGTGGGAGTCATTAGAAGACGGGACACATCATAGTGTCCTTCACACAGGACTTGACACCATGCAGGTTCTTTATTCTCCTTTGTCTTTCCTCCTCTTTCTTCTTCCTGTTTGCTTTTGGCCACATTTACAGTTTACTCCTTAGCTGGTTCACTTTTTACCAAATAGATTCAACATTACATCACTTATTTTCCCTGAAATAGCCACGCCCCTCCATCCTGGGGCAGATACTTATCTATTTTGTATATACCTGACTAAAATGGCAGAAAAGGCAAACAAATCAAGTTGCTACCGGACATTATAGATCTTAAATATTTTATAAACCCTTAAGGTACTTAAACCAGCTACAACAGGAAGTGGAAGTGGAGTAAGATTAAATATCTGGATAGATGTATTAGATGTAAAAACCTCAATTTTTGTGTTGGTATTATTATGATGTTTTTTGGTATTATAAACTACATCCTACATTTATTGAACGTTTGATTTTTAACTGTGAAAGTTACTCAAACTTTTTTGTTTTTAGTTAATAGCATATTCTTTGAATTAACCACCTGATAATTCAATAAGGATTTTCTAAGATGGAGCTTGGCCTTCCTTGGTCTTTCTTTCTTTGCTCATTGTTCCTCTTCAGCAAAACTAAAACCAGATTCTGCTGATTTAAAAGTCTTTGCTTTGCTTAAAAGTTTTTCTTAATCTTTTTTCTATCGAGACACCAAATTGAACATCTAATTTTTTACATTGTGTTCAATGATTTTTGGACACATATATCTAGTGAAACATGTCTTACTACATATTTTGTTCTTTAATTGTTCTAAAAAAGTTAAAAAACAATACACTGGACTTTGTTTCCAAGTTTGAAGACGTTTCGCTTCCCATCCAGACAACTTTTTCAATTCAAAATAGTGGACCAAAAACAAAGCCTTGTTCTGGCTTAGAAAACATGCAAATTGAACTAGACTCCAGGTCTGTCCCTTAGGAATTGGCTGTCATTTGGGTTCTTTGTTATCCCGTAACACCTGATACTGGTCTGTGCCTCTGAAATGGGGGTCGTTAGGGGGAATTGTTGTAAGGCGGTGGGGGTTGCAATGATAGAGGTAAGGACATAAACTGTATTGCTGCAATGTAGGTTTTTGAAAGCTGAAACCTGGGTCCAGCCCCTCTGTTTAAGGTTGTTTTTTTTTCTTTCTAACATAAATGGCTTCCTTCACACCCCTTTCAAACCACTTGTCTTCTTTGTCCAACATGTGAACATTCTGGTCCTCAAAAGAATGTCCTTTGTCCATAAGGTGTATATGTGAACCTGAGTCTTGTCCAGAGGAGGTTGCTCTTCTGTGTTCGGTCATGCGTCTGTGGAGAGGTTGTTTGGTTTCTCCAATATAAAGATCAGAGCATTGGTCACTGCATTGAACTGCATACACCACTCTGCTCATATTTGGTCTAGGAGTTTTGCCTTTAGGATGCACCAGTCTCTGTGCTTTAATTGCTTTTAGCACCCCAAAAATTGCATTGACTCACATTCGAATGGCAGCATCAGTTTTCTCATAAATGGAAGCTTAAGCACATGGGCTTTCTACCTGGATGTGGACTATCTTTTTAGTCGTGATGTTTTTTCCTTTTTTTTGCTTTGTCTTTCTTTGTTGTCTTTATTCTAGCCCCTTTTCTACTTTTAGCACCTCATCTGGGTCTCTGCGGTGTTTCCTTTTTGATGAAACAGCTGTTTGTGCTTCCAACACATAATGGGCTTATCTGACGTTGTTTTTCTGCAATTCTTTGCCTTTCAGTCTTTCTGTCTTTGTTAACCAAGGGAGACACTACAACACAAGAATGTGGCCACTTCACTTATTCCCCTGCTAAATAGCAGATCATAGCACTGGTATTGATCATGATTCTAAGGGTCCATAACACCCACGATAAAGCCCCACAGTGCATCTCTACAGAGAAAATAGAGGCAGGCTGCAAAGAAACATAGTGGCAGGAAGACAAGATGAGAAGGACAGTTGGTGCTGGAACAGATCAGAGTTGGAAGGAGAGATGTTTTTATGTCATTACTGTTTGAATGAGTTGGCAATAGCCCCCTTGTGCGAGCTTGTTTGCGCCACACACATTGGTACAGAACTGGCAGCTGTGACAACACATGTGGCTGCATATAAAAGAAAAACAAGGGAGATCATCTCATTAAAGCCAAGTGTGAGCGAGAAAGCTGGAGGAATACAATGGAAGAAGAGGTAAAAAGGGAAATGGTGAAATATGCAACGGTAGTCTGAGCATCACATTGAGTATTGGCTAATTCTGTCTTATCTGAAACGTACTAGACAGCAGCATTAAAATTCATAGAACTCACAGAAATCCAAGAAATGCCATTGGCTGTTTACATTGTTACATTGGAAATAATGCATTACACTGCCTGGATATAGAAATGCACACCTTTCTACTATGCTAAAAGAAAAAAAACTTTAATGAACAAACTGAAAACGAGTTCTCACTCTTTATTCATCACCTTAGTATGCATAGTCAGAGGACTAAACTCCTCATCTATAACAGCTTTCTAACTGTCTGCCTGCATAAAGATAGATGCATATTGAAGTGTCTTTAAATGTGAACACACTGCTTGTTCAGACAACAGCTCAAACATTTATAACTACACTTCTATAAACAGTAGAACTGAGATGAATAGAATTGTAGGATTTAATTCTTATTTTTTGTTGTTTGTTTATGTGGTGATACTTTTTTCTTGTTCTGCAAACACGTAAAGCAATAAAAACCATTCAAAGTACAAGAATTGTCTTTAAAGCTTCAATCCATTTGAAAATATTTATGCAGTGGAAGAAAAAACATTGCAATCCATTAGCATTCGGCTCACCATTTAATGACAAGATTAAATCAGGTTCTCAACCAGCCTTGTGTTTAAAATTAAGCTCGTTTTTCAGGTTTATAATAATTCTTCTATTAATTCTTCAGTTATTGACCAGTTTCTATGTACTTATAGTGATTAAGAACCAAACAAATTTTTCACTCTTAAATGCTGTTCTCCTTTCTTTCTCACTTTGAAGAGTTGCTGAAATAAATGAACATCTGTGTCACTTCATAATAAAACCACAACTAAAATCAAATGTTCTGCATTAGGCTACTATGCAAGTTGAAGTAATACTCTTAAGAGCTTAAAAATAAATTTTTTTAATGTTCTAGTGAAATGTATTCGAAGGAAATTTCTATAGATAGTCTTGAAGCAGTTTATTAGTGCATTTCAAAATGTACATTACAACATTTAAAAATGATTACAAAAAAAAAATCAATGCATGACATGTTCGATTTGCTTTTATTTAAAAACAGTTAATGATATAGTTTCTTCAGTACACTAGTACATCATGTCTTGTGTTGATGTCATAGATCCAATCAAACCACCAATGTAGTATTTGAAGCTCAAGGCTTCCCAGCGGTAGTTTTCAGAAAGCAAACGTTCCCTATTATAGAACCTGACTATTTGAAATAACTGTGCCTGGTGACATTAATTTTAGATATGCTTTTTTGAATGTGTTGGGTATATTAAAAAGTGACAGAAAAGGCTTGGAGCCTCACTCTAAAAGGCTAAAATTAAGAGTTCAGCAGAGAATCATGTCAGACTGAGACGTTGGAGCTGTCTGTAACACAGCTACGCTGCTTCATCGTCTCCCCCAGGAGTTGGTCTGTACTTTATATTAAAGAGAACACTTCTGTCAATTTGTGAAATTGTAGACCTTTAAAATACATGTTTACATCCAAAAATTTAGCCTTCTTCATTAGTTGGGTTTAAAGTTATACTGAAAAAGAGTTAAGGGGGAACAATGGAGCATAAGTGCTCGCTTTGACAAGCAAAGAGAGCACTGAATGAACAAAATTTTGGGGGAAAATCCACTGAAGTCCCCCAGAAAGGCCACTATGGAATAACTAAAGAACTGACTAATTCAGAGACAAAAAATTATAAAAAAAATAAATGACTATAAACCCAAATGGATAATGGATATGTAGCCCAGGTGTACTGATGACACATCCAGGACAGATGCCACGAAGGAATAGAGTCTACAACTCACTGTGGGACAGGAACTTAAAGTAAAACCAAAGACCACAAGAAACCATAAGGAAGATCCAAATTACTCTAAAATAAAACATCAAATGCAAGAATACAAGATCCAACCTCATAGTAGAGGCTTACATCTGTGTAACTTTGTATTAATCAGCGCTAGAATTTTTGTTGTTTAACTGGTGGTTTGAGTATTTTCTTATTGCTGCTGAGTAAATTTAGACGTTTTTGACTCTTTTAGCTTTGTTATGCAGTTTCAACATTAATATATTTCTGTTTTTCTCATTCTATTGCTGTTCCTGTCTTGGAAATGTTTTTACCTGGCTTTTGGTGACATACTTGGTTAATTTCATACTGTTGCTGCATTCTGAAGATGAATGTCAAAGCTTAATCTTAAACTCCAGAATAAAATAAATCATATTTTTGATTCTTTTAAAGCCTTTCTTTAGCTGGATTCATTTTATTCTGATTTTTACAGAAACTTTCTAGTTTATTTCCAGAATACTGGACAGTGTTGAATCCTATGATAGGCATCATGATCTAAGAGAAAACAGGAGGGAAGAAGATGACCACACTCAGCTGTCTGGCCGACTCACCGCTGTCTAATGGAAGGTCTTATCACAGGCGGAGCCTACTGCCCTTATCACACCTGCCCACTATCAGCCCCACACTGGATTATCCCTGAAGGGTGAATCTGCACATCTTCAATCATTTAGTCCTATCACATGGAGCCATCTCTGCTCTGGCTTCTCTTTCAGCCATAAAAAGCATAAAGAAAGAGAGAGAGGGAGAGAGATGGGCGCAGATGTAAAAGAAAAAGAGGTACTGAGAAGCTATTTCATGCTCCCTGAGAAAATGTATCACAGGAATAGAAGTGAAAACTTCACGGATATGTGCCCTGATGGCGTGTTAGAGCTGGTCTGTGCACTGTCAGCCAATCAGGCCACGCTATGGGATAGAGAGACTGTAGAAATCAAGTTAAGGTGAGCAGAATCTGATAGGAAACAGCACAGATGATTAAGTTGAAAAGCCAACAAACCCTGAACAGTGCAATGTGTTTGATTGAGGGGACAATGGATGAGATCATTTAATAGCAGGAGGGTCTACCGATTCGTTACAAAAATGCACCGATTCAAAGTTAGGTCTTGCCTCATGGTTTTTTGTAAATTATGTGAACATTTTTATGCAGCTAGATTAAAAGATAACAGTAGATTGTTTATTTGTTAACTTAAGGCTTAGGATAAAACAGAACAGATTTAAATAAATGACCTAAAGCAATGCAAATTTATAGGCAAACATGAGGTTATCCATTTGATTAAATAACTTTATACTTGGAGAAATTTGTGTGAACATAATTGCAGAGGAGAGATTAGAAAAGAAAGGAATGTAACAGGCTGGATAAGAGAGCAATGATTAACATTTCCAATGTGACCAATATCCAAAGATTAAATATTTCTGCTGACATATATTATGGAAGATTTCCTTCTTTTTTTTTTTTTTTTGTATTGTATCTTTGTGTTGGGCTTTTAGGAGTCTGGCATTTATTTGCCTTTTGTTTATTTCTCTTCTGGAGGCTCATCAGGTTGTCTTTGCTGGGTCTCAAGCAGAATTCCCTCCTCGGGTTGAGCTGGAAAATGCCAGCCAACAGGCTCTTTTGTTGTTTTGGTTCTCACTGGAAAAATTGCGAGCTCTGTTTGCTACGCTTTACATGTCTCAAGCAGAGATGTTTTGGTTTGCAACAGCGCTAGCATTCATTAATTACACAAAAAAATGATCTGATATAAAAATAATCTCTTCAGGTGATTTTTAAAGGCATGGTTGTGCTGCAGGGTGTTCCTTAACCCCCAGATTTTCAGTGAACACACCCGGCTAAAAGTCTTGATAAATATCAATCCCATGAGGTAGGAGAATCATACCGAGTGTTTGAAATCAGCCTGAGCTGTTTTATTGTTATTAATATACTTGCAGTAACAATTTATTGTAAGCGGGATAAGTACCGTACACGACATGAGACATTCAGCATCCTTTTCTGTTTCCTCATCCCCTCCCTCTCTTTGCATCATTTAGCACTTCCAAAGCTTACCTCATCCTTCTAACATTTATGAAAGGATTAACAATGAAAGTCATGTTGGGTAAGGCCATCATGCAGCTGCAGCACTGCTACAAAAAAGGATGGATGGGGTCGTGTTGCAGCACAACAGGGAGCAGCAATAAGTAATAAGGTTTTTTTTTAGAAGACTTTTAATAAATTTGTTATTTCTTATTTTATTCAATTAAAGCATAACATTTATTTGATAAATAGGAGATATATTTTTTGGGGGGCGGCGGTGGTGTGTGGAATTAAGAGCGCCACCCCTGTAGAGGCTTTGGTCCAAGATGCAACCTGGTGACCTTTGCCTCATGTCTTCCTCCTTCCTCTTCACCCATTTCCTGTCTACCTACTTTCAAGATAACAAAAAAAAAGGCCATTAGTGCCTAAATATGCTCTAGAAATCTAACATTTTTCATGTTGTGTGTTTCCTCACCCAGGTCTCAGACCGTAGCGTGGTGGCTCTGGTTCCCAAGCAAACCTCATCTTACAACATTCCTTCCTCAGCGAGCATAACCCGTACCTCCATCAGCAGATATGGTGAGTCAGCACACAGCATTCGTTCCACAGCAACGGTGGCTTTAACTCTTAAAGAATGTTTGCGTACCTCTAAATTTTCAAACTGCTGAAAGTTATTGATGTGGAATAAATAAAAGAAAGCAATAAAAGTGGGGATGATAGCTGAAGTCAGCGTTTGCTTTTCTTTACTTTAGAGTAATAATGTCTGCCTTTCAAGGAGCTATTCTAGTAACTAGTGTTGATTTATTTCATTGTTCAATATACCTTTTGAACTTGCAACTATAGGTCGATTTCTCCCCAAAAACATACAAACACATATTTTTAGGAACCTTTTACAGCCTACCCAGACGATCAGTTGGTGTGATTTCCATAGGTAATATCAAACAGTGAAGCTTATCTAAATTATTGGGGCAAAGAAAGTCAAATTTCTTACTTTTAAAGCTTCAATCGTTCTGTAATCTAGAGAGAAAAAAACATGTTTTTAAAAAAACTAATTCTACCCATGCAGCATTGATCCTTGTCTATGTTGTGATGGTTTTTAATTCTTCCAACTTTATTTCTTAAGTCACTTCAAACTTTGTAAGGATGTGCGCTTGGGATGGATTTTTGAATAAAATACAGGGATCCATTATATTTTGCAAAGTTTTGGTTTAAGGGAGAACATTTTTTTCTGTGCAGTGAAACTAGAAAGAGAAATCAAATCTAAACTCCATGAGTAGGTTTAAGTAAAACAAAGTGTAGAAAAATTGAAAACGACATAATTTATTGATACGTACCAGGAATATGCAGTTTCCTTTAATATAGCAGATTGCGAGGTTTGTCTCTTCTTTAAAATGCTTAGTCTGCTCCTAAAGCTCTCCTTCAAAAAAATTACAAGTAACCATCTGCCATTCATGAGATACTTCTTTATGAAATTTACCTGAATAAGTTGAGATGATGAGATATTTTCAACTCTATGTTTCTGGCACAAAGTGGAGTTAACTAAAAAAGGTCATTCAGCAGAACTGTATCTAGTCTTTTATGTCTTCCTTTTTCAGAGGTTAGTAGAGAATCCCAAAAATGTACTCAAGTAAGAGATGCACTACTTCAACATTTTTTTACTCTAGTACAAGTAGATATTTGTAATATAAGAATTTACTTAAATATTATTAACAAATACTTGGTAAAAAATGCTACTGAGTAATATTTGGATCATCAAGTCTTATTTAATGCAAAAAGATAATGAAGTCAAACAAATCTTATGTACAATTCTGTTATTTTAAAGACAAAAATACATAGAAAAATAAAAATAAGTTACATAATTACAAAATAATTCCCTGCAGAAGAAATCATTTTCGAAAACCAATGTTTGTGCAAATAACACTTGTAAAATAGTTGAAGAATGTCCGGTAACAATATCAGTTATAATGATATTTAGCTCTCTGAATAGTTCAACTTAATATCAGGGGACAAAGTTGCCAGGGATTTTACTCGAGTAGGAGTAGCAATACTTACAGTAAAATGAATACCTCCAAAGTAAGAGTAATAGTACACAAAAACTACTTCTAAAAGTGATTGTTTTTTCAAAATGTTATCTAATTACCTAATTAAATGAGTAAATAAAACTAGTTAATATCCCCCTCTGTCTTTTTTAAACAAAAAAACATGAGATCGTAACTTAATTGAATTAACTTAGTAAAACACATTTTATCAGAGTTATGTATAATACTTTGTAGTAAAAGATGATGCTCTAAATAATAGTCTATAATGAAGTTCAACAGTCTTTCTTTATTTCATTTGATCTTGAATTCCCTAATCCTTTAGCTCTGATGACACAGTCCATGGCTAACCGTCGGCTGCAGTTATTGCATTCGTTCAGATGTGTTATTTACTTTGGGCCGTCTGGTACCACATCTTGGTCCATTGCCAGACTGACGCGGCACCACCACCATGCGAATCATGATTGTTAATTATTCTGTGTGAATGATGCTTCACACAAACAGAGCAAAGATAAGCGAGCAGGGCCAATTATGAGGACCGGGGGAGAGGAGCTGAAGTCTGCCTTCAAACTGTCTAACACAAAAAACAAGCTAAGAACACCCTTATTCCTCCAAGCAATTAAGCTTATTTACAGATAACAGAGAGGGTTGGTACCTGTTAACTCTGGGGAGAACAATACATTTACTTAGTATTTAGTGTAAAATAAATAGGCAAGGCATTTATTAACAGATCTCATCTAAAGTGACCTTTAGAAAGACTGCTTTTTACTTATTTTCTTTTAAATAGAACATTAAAGTTAAAACAGGAAGGATATGATAGTTATCCTGATCTTATTTTGTTGTTGTTGATGGCAAAGTTAATTAGGAACAAGACGACAATTCCCTGAGCCTGACTTTCATTAAGGCTTAGAACAGAAGATGGATTCATTTTAATGTCATTTTCTGACTTTAGCAACTTAATGCATTATGTGCCACAAGAACCATTCAGTTAGTAGAAACAAAAAGGCCTACAGAAATAGAGAAGACACACGAAATATGGGAATAGGAGGGAAGTGAAAATCAGCGACTGGATTAGGACCAGATTTAGGATCACAATCCACCCGGTGAATGCATTCAAACTTCTCCATCCCCAGTGACCACTGCAGGGGTGCAGTGGGGTCTCATTTGAAAGGTATAAGGGGCTTAAATGGCAGCTAATGCTTTGTTGTTCCTCTCGGCCTTTGAAGGCAGGTGAGAGAGCTCCTCAAACGGGATCCTCAGATCGTGAATCTCTAGAGACGCCGCTGCCTGGAGTAGATGCCGACTAATTAGTGAAACTAAAACCGGCATCATTCGGAGTGAGAGTGCAAGGAGGAAGCACGAGTCGGATGTACGGGTGAAGGACGGTGCTTTACAAATCAGGGATCTTTTGATGCGTTGATGAGAGCGTGACAGAGATTTCTTTTAAACATGATGTTTGGGGAAAAGCAGATTATGAGGCCTTTTAAGTGGCCTTTTAAGTAGAAAGAATAAGTGATGAGGAGGATAAAAGATGATCATTATCTCATTGTTTATGACAGAGAAAAAGAAACCAAATGGTGAATAAACAGCACACGTAGGAAGCAGTATTCTTTTCGAAATGCATGCAAAATTAGTTTGTGTTACGATGAACAACAGAGAAGCTGCAGAAGTCCTGTTTACACCCTGCATTTACAGAATCTTATCATGAATGTGAATTTGTAATGATTATTTGCACTGTTCGTTCTGGTATGATTAGGCAAAGGACATCTGGGGTTTCCTTAAAGAGAATTAGGCACCAAAGTTTGAATGTTGAAGGCATTGTATGTGGTAAACAACTTTGGTAAAGGTTTATTAGACTGCACCTAGAACACACATATTTTGCAGAGTATTGTTAAAGAAAAAGCCCAAGAGCATAATTCACCACCACCACATTGTGTGTAAAAGGCTTATCTTAATTTTTATTCTAACAAACTTCTTAATATTGTGCTTAGATGTTCAATTCTTTATCTGGGATGAAAAAACTTTTTCCCCTAAATGCCCTTTGATCTAGTTTGGAAAACAGGCTTTGTTGGTGTCCAACAATATTACATGGACTGTGTACAATGCATGCATCTCAGATACACGGCATTCTTGCTGTTCAGAGTAATAGTCGGCCCCATGAGGGTTTGTTTGCTGTTAAATCCTTTCAGCATAGGTAAAGAGAAACTGCCAGCTTTAGTCAATTCTTCACTACCATGAGGTTAATAGGCCTTGGCTGTGTTAAATTGATGTTCTCCAGATGATTTGGCTTCACATATTTAAAGGTTTAGGTTAATCTATGATTATTTCTTAAGCATATATATATTTTATTTTTACTTTTGTGGCTCAGCAAATATTTAAATTTAACTGTTTGCAACCAATTTGTGCGTTCATTTTGTTAAGCTGGGTTAATGGTTGCTCCAGGTTGTAAAAGGAAAATCTGTTCAAATAAACAAATAAGGCACCCATGCCCATGAATTTTCCTATAATGATCTGTACACTTTAGGTCTGGAGGTTTTCTCAGTCAATTCATAATTCTATATCTGTCTTTTTTTCTCTGTTCTGGACAGACTCTTCGTTCCGTTACACAGGTAGTCCAGATAGCCTCAGGTCACGCGCTCCCATGATCACGCCAGACCTAGAAAGCGGTGTGAAGGTGTGGCATTTAGTGAAGAACCATGAACATGGAGACCAGAAGGAAGGAGATCGCGGCAGCAAGATGGTGTCTGAGATTTATCTAACCCGGTTACTAGCTACAAAGGTACATCGACACACTGCCACCTACACATGAAGAATTGTTGAAACAGTTACTCATCTTTTGCGAAAATATTCAAATTGACCCAACATTTTCAAAGATTTTCTAACTAGATTGTAATGCATATCATTGTGATTATATATGACAGAAAATTTAGAGGTTATGGATAATTGGAAATGGAAAATGGAATTGGTTTTCAAATATTTTCAAAGATACATATCAGAATGTCCCATTAATCGGATTGTCCTAAATAAAATTAACAGCAGCCAAACGTGATAAAGTTGCATAGCTGCAGCACCGTAGTCAGTGTGAGCCCAAAGCCATCTGTTCAGCATAAGCCTCAGAGGTTTATTAGAGAGCGTTAATGAACAAACTGCATCATGAGGAATAAAGCAGACCTGCATGACAGACCAGAAAATATAAAAATATTGTTAAAATAAAGCATTCAGATATTCTGTTTGTAGTTTACCTACAGCGCTTCAACGGGCTCAGCAAACATGGAAGGTTTTATAATGAGATTAATAAAATAAATGCACTTTCTGGCTTAGATGCAGACCAACACAAAAAATTGGACAATGATAGATATGTAAGATACATCGTAGCCCTCTTTGTCAGAACATTTGATAGATGAAGGAAGCTAAAAAAAAAAAGGATTGTCCTGGAAGAAATCCATGATGTACGGTTTCAACATGGTGCGCTTTATTTCCTTTTACAGGGCACTCTACAAAAATTTGTGGATGACTTGTTTGAGACATTATTCAGCACGGTTCATCGAGGGAGTACGCTTCCCCTGGCCATCAAATACATGTTTGACTTCCTGGATGAGCAGGCAGACAGACACGGGATTTACGACACAGACGTCCGTCACACGTGGAAAAGTAACTGGTAAGACTTGTAGAGAGAGAAAACTAAATGGTAGTACTGGATATACCGTATCCCTGTCTGTCCTTAACTGGTGTTTTTAATCTCCACCTTTTAGCCTTCCATTGCGTTTCTGGGTGAATGTGATCAAGAACCCTCAGTTTGTGTTTGACATCCATAAGAGCAGCATCACGGATGCCTGCCTATCTGTGGTAGCTCAGACCTTTATGGATTCCTGCTCCACATCAGAACACCGGCTGGGCAAAGACTCCCCCTCTAATAAGCTGCTCTACGCTAAAGATATCCCTAATTATAAGAGCTGGGTAGAAAGGTAGGAGAAGCCACTATTTTCAACATCGACACTAAAACACTTTTTAGTCTCCTCTTTCACCAAAAACGGGATCTTTAGAAATTGGTTCCAAAAGCTCGTTTTTCCTTCATTGTGTCTCAGACAAAGTCTGTTAAAGTACTTAGTAAGTAAATGATAGCAGGCATTGGCTGTCGATGTAAGTGGTGTAATGGCTCAAAAATCCAACTATAAAGTAATAAAAACTCAGTCAAATGATCATATTGACTCTGTGAATGACTCAAAGTGTTTCTGTTGCCTATGTTTCCAGGTACTACGCTGATATCACCCGGATGCCGGCCATTAGTGACCAGGACATGAATGCTTATTTGGCCGAGCAGGCCAGACTCCACTCGTCGGAGTTTAACATGCTCAGCGCTCTCAATGAGATCTACTCTTATGTCAGCAAATACAGTGAGGAGGTAGGTCTGAATGCACGCACTGGAGGTGGCTGCAGTTTTTCTCACCTTTTTAGATACCATCTATTAGCACCTTCTGGTAAAGCTGCAATGTGTAACAGTAAGTAAATCAAAATGAAATATTAATTAGAAGCTAATAACTTTTCTGAATAAGTGTGTTTATTTCAGAGGCACCTAGAGCATACGGTATACAATTGCTAAACTATAACCCCACATATGTATGAAAAATACTTAATAATGTGACGAAACCAAACTTAACCTCTTACTAAAGGCAGCAACTTTGCTCTGCATTTCCTTAGCTGCTTGTTTAAGTTATATTTAACTACATTTCCCAGGTTTTACTCCTGTTGATGGATTAATAGGAATTCCGCTTCATGCATATTTACCTGTATGAGCAAATTTCCCTCTGACATTATACATAAAGTACCTTCCACATCTTTGGCACACTTTTTTAAGACAAATAAAAAGCCTTAAAGTTGTTCTTCTTTTATTGCAGTAGAATGATGTTAAATTAATAGAAATTTTAAACTTTAATTTAATTAGAAATTTTAAACTTTAATTTATTTAGTTTGTGTAAAAAAAAGTTAATAAATGCCACTAAAGAAAAGTATTTAGTTCAATCAATAATCTTTTTATTTCTTTGCAGTGTAACTTTGTGGCCAGACAGATACTTACTTCCCTTTAAAATGGGAAAGAAAACAAGATAACATGTCATTTAGGCAAAGCCGAGGTGTGCTGATCAATAGCAATTAGGAAATGGTTACAAAAAAATGTGATTCACCTAAACTTAACCAGATATGAAATGAAAGAGCTGTATAATTAAAAATGACAGTAGAATTTTTTTTTTAGGAAAAGTAGGTTTAAAACAAAGGGAACCTCTTGATAGAAAAAGAAAATCAACAATTATTTAAATAAATCTTTAAGTTAACTAAGCTAACTCAGAAAGTAATTCTTTTTGTGTCTACATGTTAATTATTAAGAAGAAAAGAATCTGATCTTACTTCCTACTGGACTAATAAGCAGCTTAAAACTTATTTCTTTGTTTTATTGAGATCAGACAAATCTCTCATCTTCTTATGTGTTTTTGTCCAACTGCACATACGACCTACATAGCAGTCTGCACAACTGATTACATAATGAGCTGCCTCTTCTGCAAATCAGCTGCTAATTACAGGCCAATTGTCAGAATAATATGAAACCAAAAAAAAAATAAAAATGCTGCAAATTTGTCCTGCATTGTCAGGCTCTTGGTGTACCTGAGCAAACATTATTGAGGTCACTCTGCTCGGTTATCCCCCCCCCCCCCCCCCCCCAAAAAAAAGCCCAAAGGTCTAGTAGGACCTATGCTTAACAACATACTGATCTTACCTCTGCAGAAAGTAAATGTCTACAAGCTGTCAGCATGCTGCGCTGTCCGCTCACTGGAGCAGAGTTAGAGCCGTGATATACAGTGTGGATCTCATTGGCAGAATCACAGACAGCTCACTCACCATTAGATCACAGGAAACATATAAAAGAACAAGGAAGGGAAAGTGAAGGCATTTATGGAGACATTCTGGTTCTAATGTCAGCTCCTCCTGTGGGAAGCTTCAGTCTGACCTTTATGTTCAACTTCTTCTCCCTCTCTGGGTCTCTGATTGTCTCCCCCTCTCTTTCTTTCTTTTCCTGCTGTTCTTCTCTTCACTTTTTGCTCATTATCCAGTCAGCTACCGCTTTGCTCTTCATAAATCTTACGCTCTTGCTTTTGCTGCCTCTGCACTTGTCATTGTCTGATGCTCACATTTATGGAGGCATTTACAAATATGCTCATTTTTCACACTCACACAAACAGCGTACCACTACTCCCACTGCGTCTGGTGGGGAAAAACATCATCAAGTCCCATTAATTGGTTTGCTCAGCCCTTCACAAAAGCCAGAACATCAAGCTAACCAGGCTGGAGCAGCAGCAGCCTTCTTAAATGGAGAGAGCTGCACCTACATATAGGACTGCAGATTAATAATGGATTATAATAGGCCCAACAATGAGGAAAAAAATTTTATGTCTGTCCATGAGTTGTTAAGAGCACTTAAACAGATGAGTGGAAGATGACGGGTGGCCATGCAGATACTTTGTTCTGCATCAGATCCGGAAGCAAATTAGCTGCTTTAAATTCTTTAAAAAAAAAAGGAAAGGATACAGATGCATTTCCTTTTTTTAGGTACCTTTATTTTAAATGTTCTCCACGAGATGTTAAACATCACCTTAACAACATAGTTTGTTCGCCTAAGAATATGAAATATAATTGGTCTCTTTTTCACATTTTTTTGACATCTTAGAAAATCTGTTGAGTTTGCTGAAGAAATAAAACAGAGATAGTTCAAACAGAACTGCTTAGTGGTCCTTTTCTTCGTGTGCTCCAGCTTCATCATATCTTATGTAGAGTACTCAAGTACTGGCAAAATCTGGTTCAACGAAGGATTGACAGCAGGGATGCAATTTCCTGTTCCACGGCTGATAAACTGAACACTAATAAAATGCTGTTTTGTATCATGTGACTCCAAATTTAATGAATAGCCTCAGATTAAATTTTTGTTTTTCATTTAGGTTACATTTAGGAGCTAATCTTCAAGTATGCTCATCTTAGACAGGTGTAAACATTTTTGTATGTCCATCTGAAGTAGTTTAACATACATGTGGTGTGAGTATGTTTATTTTGGGTTTTGAAACGAATGTGGCGGCATATGCTCAGAACAGACCTTCATTGAAGTTGCAAAGTGATTTGCATTTGCAATTCAGCAGATAGCAGGTCCATTTCACAAAGCAGGTTTATTAAACTCAGATTTAAATCCTTAACTCTAAATTGATCTAGCTTAAGGATGGAAACTCTGAGTTTTTGGTTTCATAAAAGCTGCTGAGAGTTTGTTTAATCTACTCTAAGTAGGTTCAATCATCAAAGACAATTTGCCATGCTGCACTGTATATTTCTTTTTTTTTCAGATCTGACTAAAGTCATCGTTATCATTTTTATTTATTTTTTACTCTGTTTCGTTGCACTTTGGGATAGGCTACCTATTTAAAGTGCTCTATGAGTATTAGTTGGCATCATCATCATTAGTTTTGAATGACTTTTATCATTAATAAATCCAATTATGTGACTTATAACCTTATCTTTATTTTATGACCACTCTAACTGGCCGTAGAACTTGCTATCTGCTCATTTTAATGTGCAGAACAAAAACAGTTTACACGTGTTAGCATTTGTGCTGCACTCTTTGAAGATCACCCACAACACGCCCCTTGATGCATTTTACTAAAAAGATTAATGCACCTTATTCTAAATCTTAAAGATCTTATTAAATTACTACATAATTAATTAATTAATTATTAATTAAATATTAAAACTGTATAACAACCCACCTCTATTCATATTGAATGTGTCATCTATCCAAGTATCATTTCCATTACATAGAGGATGGGTACAGGGATAAGGAATATGTTTTTTTGTAAATATCAATAGCTGACAGGAGCAAACAGATACTGTGCTTCAATTCACAAACCATGGATTGTGGCATTTGAACACAGGGCTGCATATCAAAGGCAATAAAAGCGTCAGGGTTTCAGCTTCTGTTCATACGAAGGGGCCTTGCTGTGTATGCTGGTGTCACACTGACAGAGATGCACCCTGACAAGTTGACACATGATTAGAGAGTTGAGGGGAGAGCCTAGCTGACTGCCTTTTGAACCCGACTTGACAAATGCCAAATTTAAAAGACGGGGCTCAGAAGATAAAACACTGGATGATTTTTTTTTTTTTTAAGACATGTTCTTTCATGCAATGTCCATACAAAGGCTCATAAATACATACTTTACTCTGCTGTGACACATGATGTGCATTGCAAAAGTGTTTATACCTTTGAACTTTTCTTTTGCAAATCATTTTTGCAAAATTTGAAAAATACAAAAATTGTCCTATTGTTATATTTGTATCCGTATAATTATGGAAGGAATTTAAGGTGTTAAATTTTTACTCGCAAGTAATATTCTGCAATAACTAATGTGCAATCACTGTTTAATACCCTGTGCAATAATCTATTTTTATTTAATACCCTGTGCAATAACTATGTATATATATAAATACCTATTTAACACCCTATGCAATAATTCTGTGCAATAACCTGTGCAATAATCTTGTTAAATAAGAGACTTCAACTGATATGTGTATATATATATATATATATTAAATACCAAAGAGCCTAATCCAAATAAGAATCTGAGACAAGACTTACAAATACTTCTAAAAGTTTCTGTGCATCAAGTTATCTGTGCAGAAGTGGAAAAGAGGTGTAAAGCAGTTTTACAAAGTACTTATCCAAGGGGGTTGATAGAAATATGTGCCACACTTTTAAAAGCAAAAAAATAAATAAATAAAAAATTCACTAAAGTCAAAGCCTTGTTTTAGTTTAAGAAATAACTCATATAGACTATAAATGAAAGTGTTTTTCAAGCACAAACATTGTTTATTGTTTTAATGTTGAAAATTGTAAAGAATCAAATGCTAAGAAGAGTTTTTTTAAGGTCCCTTACATTTTAAAGGCCAATTTAGTTTTTTTAGTCAGATTTTTTAACACATTTCTTACCGTTGTTTGCAGATTGTCTCCGCTCTGGAGCAGGAGGAGCAGGCCAGGAAACAGAGGTTGGCCTACAAGGTGGAACAGCTAATCTCTGCCATGTCTCTGGAGAGCTGAAGGTGAACGCTGCCAAAACAAAGAGGGTGGGGGGAAGAAAGGACAGACGGACCTACCTAAAAGGTCATTACTTACCTCTCATCGTGGGAAATTTTAACCACGATCTGGATGCGGGACCTTTGTAATCTACAGCCGGACAAACACAACTGCTTTAGTTTGCGATTCTTTCCCCCTGCCGTCACGTTGGTGCCCACAGGACTGAAACAGTGGCTCTTCAGCTGGAAATAACAACTCTATTGGAAAGGGACATTGAGTTGGTTTCGTTTTCCTCAAAGGACCCTCTCTAGATTTGGCAGGAAATTGCATGTCGTGTGGGTGTTCACATGTGTGGGTGTGCATGAGAGTGTGTGTCATACTGAGGAAGACTTGTGTAAGACTGTGAAAGCAAATGGAGAAACAGATTTAGCCTTGAGGCCACCATCTGAGTGAAAAATGAGAAGAAAGGAAAACAAAGGTGAAAGGCCAATGTCATGTTGGCCATTCAGAATAGTCAGATTTTATTTTTCTACTCTGTAAATGTGAATATCATCAGCTGCAGTTCAAGAAAATATCCACTGATTATCCCTAACTCCGTTATGTAAAGATACCCATTTTATCTCACTTCTTCCCATTTTGGACTGATGCTTCACAGAATATGTACATGAACAAGTGCTGCTCTATGTGTGATCAGAAATGTAAAAGAAATAGCTTCTGCTCTTAACTGAAAAGTGAGCAGCTTCTAATTTTTGGAGTTATATTTTTGCCAGCATGCATGAAACACAAAACTGAGAGTAATGCAGGCGAAGTGACCACAGACCTGCATCACTCTGGTGTTAAAGGCTTTCCTCAGCAGTCTGAACATTTGGTTTGGAGCAGTCCATATACTATTCAATGTATAGGACTGTATTGTTTTATTTATTTTTTATTTTTTTTATGTTCTGGAACAAACAGACAAACTCACAGATGTTCATTACATTCCCAAAAAATGTGTCTTTAAGGCAGCATGCTCAACTTCCAGTGCACAGCATACCCAATACCTCACATCAGATGTGTAAACATTTCCAAGTGTTTGGGTTTTATCAAGTGCCAATGAGTCAGTAGGGATGTAACTGCAGTCCGCAGATCATCCCGTCCATCTAAAGGTAACGTTTTAGCCCACATCATAAGAGCTCTACATGGGTTCAGTTTGATAAAGTGCCAAAAGATCCCACTGTTTCATTTCACTCTCTAATGTGTCCAAATCGGTTTATGCTTTACAGACAGAGGATAGATTTTGGGTTGACTTCAAGGCTCAGATAGCTGGACTGGTGAGTTTTGAAAGGTACAATATGAAAATGGACTGAAAACTGAAATTTAGAGGTTAAAAGAAAAAAAATATTCATGCCATTTTAATGCATCCCCTGAATGAAACCAAGCCTAAACCTGTAGATTATAACCCTTCCGAGAGCTGATTTATTTTCTTCCAAGACATGTTCGCTTGTTGTTTACATTGAGTACTTGAAAATAGATTTGTAGAGTTTTTTTTGTGTGTAGAGCGCATGTACCTGGTGGGTGAAAGGTGCTTCTTTTCTTTGTGGCCTTAGATTCCCACCTGTTTAATTTTCCCTGATCGTACCAGTCCTTGGCCAGGACACCTGCTTTCTGTGAATCCTGGCATTGGCACTTAGCTGAGAACTGTGAGACTATATAAAAAGAAGAGGTGGAGAGGTTATGGCCAGACTGAGGCAGGCAGCACCTCTCCCAGCTCTCGACTCTCCTTAGCTGTTTGAAGAGAAGCACAGAGAAAGCGATGGAGGGGTAGAATGAGTGAGAGAGAGAGAGAGACCCTTTAGCTCTGGTTTCCCCCTCTGGCTTTGAAGCCGTTCTTTGATCTGAGTTTGGTTGTGTGTCTGTGATCAGGAGAAAACGTCAAACTAAGGCAATGAGAAATGCTGGATGACGTGAGGAATCAGTGGCTGTTACTGCATCTGGCCAGTGGGGGCAGGAGTGAGCACAGAGGTCTGTAGTATGTTAATGCACCTGCTGTAATTAAAGCAAAATTTGACAGTTACCTGCAAAAGTATTCACAACCTGAGAGCTTTCTTTCAATATTTTCTTACATGACAGCATCAGATTTCAAATCTTATGTATTTTTGGGTATTTTTACTGGTTAACTAGCTAAATGTAATGTATACTGATTATTTTATTAATACAAATCTGAAAATATCAACTTCATGTAAACATAGAACTTTCTTTACATGTCTAACATCTCCCCTCTGTGGCTTTGGTCTCTTTAAATTGCATTTCTTGTGGCTATTTTTTTTACCAATTCCCCATCAAATAAGTGCTTGACTGATCATTTATTAATATCTGCCCTGTTCAGATTCTTCCATCTGATTTATGGATCTCTGCTGCTCCTCCAGAGTTACAATGGGCCCCATAGGAGTAAAATGGGGCTCAACACTAAAGCTTCTAGCACAAATCTTTTATTTATAAAGAATAAAAACCATTCCCCTTTGATTTTAGCTTTTTTATTCTGCTTTGCCTCATTTTATCACATAATATCTAAACAAGTGGAGTCTGTGTTTGTAACTTGAATAAATGGGGAAAAGCTCAAGGGATGTGAATACTTTTGCAAGACCATATGGACCTTATTTCATCCTTTGGACCTGTCTGAAGCAGACATCAGACCCGATTTCCACAATCACAACATTTAGCAATCATGGTTTCAGCTTACATTTGACCTTAAAAATGAAGAACATGTTTCCTTCCGTGCCGCAGAAACAGTTCCTCTCCCTGCAGGATGGCTGACCTTTAACTAAAAAAAATCAGAAAAACAGCCTTATGAGCTTAATTGGAGGAAAAGAGGGAGCTTGCAATCTAAAAATGAGGTTTATATAAAATATCAATTTTCCTGAAACATCTTCGAGATATTATCTGTTAATCAGAATATTTATGACACACTTACAGTAAATTACAGGGTAAGGTCACCGTGTTATTTGTTAATTTTGTTGTTTTTTTTCCATTTATTTGTAATTGTCTGATAAATACTTTTAGGTACAAAACGGTGCACACATACTTGCAGTATTTAGAGAAAATGAAGCTTCTTCCTCCTTTTGATGAAGGTGTCTTCCCAGTTTCAGCGACTAGAATTGTATCCTCCTCATACCTCACATTGCTTATACAGAGTAATGCTTTCTGTTTTGATGGGACCTTATTGCCTTTTTTTTCTTCCTTTTTTCAAGGAATAAATAAATGTTTAACAGAATCCTTCCAGCTGTCCTGTGAGTTCCCCAGTAACACAGGATTGTGACAAAGTTAGGCTCCAACTGGTTAAGAATGGCTTTATTTTTCTCTCTTAAATCATTTGTTATCCAGATGTCTCCCATCTGATATTTATGCATGCATTCTGATTTGTGCTTTAGTTCTGCCTTGTGTTTTTCTGTGGACATATCGATCTGCGGTATAATTTAGCCTGATGGCTATTCTTCCATTTGTACATGTCTTAAAATCGCAGCACCTTTTATTGTGAAAAGAGATTTTTTTGTTGTTGTTATTGTTATGAAGTGATTGCTTGTGTTACTATGTTGTACGCTCATTTTAATTTAATTTTAATAAAAGAGAGAAACGTTTCTTAACTCATTCTGCAGTGCAGAATTACATTTGATTACTGCCCGTTGTGAGAGACACGTAGAGATGCTAGCAAACCTCATTTCAGGTGAATCCGAACACAGGCGGAAAATGCTTTGTGAAACCTTCTTCCAGTTTCAGCTTGTTTCCTCGCTTGATGGCACCAGACAGACAAAACTCAAGTCCCAATCAATGTATTACTCTCAATATAAAGTGAGTATCCTTCCATTCTAAACACATATTAACAAAAAAAAAAAACTTTTTTGACACTGGATTACTGTAAAATAGCAATTACTGGCATTGATGATAATAATAATAATAATGGCTGTCTGTTCTTGTTTTATAAAAGTGTTGTGAAAATTGTAAGAACTTAAAGTATTTAAGAAGGTTGTTCTCTTGGTTTTTTATTTGCTTTTGATTTTATTATAATATATTATTGTGTACCTATTGTAAATATGAAGCACACCTATTTTGCAAGCCAAGGATTCACTTTGTACTGTTGTTATATATAAATAAACTTTGCTGGTTAAAATTCACAGAAGAACAATCTGTAATTATTCTTTTTTGAGCTTAGTTATTTTTTCTTCTTCCTTCTTTGGATTAGACCAGCAATAAGAATACTTTTAGTTCATATATTTTCTTCAACGCTCCATGTCAGCAGAGGGTTATATTCTGTCTCACACAGAATATAACCCATTATACTAAATGCTCCTGTGGTGTATAGTTGCCATTTCAAAAACATGATATTTTTTGTTACTTTTTCTGGGTAAAAGATAATTTGTCCTTTTAAACTCTTAAGGCTTTTGGATACTTATACTGAAAAAATGTCAAATATTTTTGAATTTTACATCCAGTTATATTAGGACAAATATACGTACGGAGAAAAATCTTGGTTTAATTGCTATGTTTAATAGCCATAATTCAACACTGTCAGTTGATTTCTTCTGCTTGTTTTGTCTGTTGAGTCACATTAAAAAAGTCAATTAGAAAGTGAAAATACTAAATAAGCATAAAGCAATATTTGCATTATTTCGGTCACAAGAAATGTGATGTTTTAATTGGTGTTTGTTAGTATTTTTTGGTATTTGTTGCATGAAGCATATTTTAAAATGTTAAAATCCATTGATTAGAATTACACTAATATAAAGTTTGTACTATAAAGTATTAGGCAAATATTTTGCATGACAGCAGAGAGCAAAAGAGAAAAGGTTGACGTTATTGCATTAATGTCTGTTTTACTGAACATTTTTTGAGCCCTTAAACGTTGTTTTCCATTTCTACTTTCTAGCTTTGCTCTTAATTTTTAAAAAGGACCAGCGAATAAATTATCCATTTCTCTTTATCTCTTAAACATTTCAGCTTGTATAAAACATGTACATCAGTCATTCTTAGAAAAGGGCCCTTGTTTTTTCACAGAATGAATAAAAATGATTTTTTTTTTTTTTTATGTGCTGCTTCCATTTGCCAAGAACCTGCAACACATAACATGGCCGTTAGGTCTCCTGGTTTTCAATTACTTTACCACACCCCGTACATTTTTGCCATCTTGCATCACCTGCTGACATCACCTGTTTGGAACAGACTTATCAAAATGTGTGTAGTCCAATAATACTGTATTTGTTTTGAATATGTGGTGCCCCTTAAAGGGACAGTTTGTAAGATTGACCTCTATCTGGTAGGGGACCACACAAATTAAAAAAGACGGTTTCCTCCTATTCAAACATGTCAGACTTACTATGGAAGCTATGGATTGACAATCTACTCTTTCTGAATGATGGGACACATCAACCTCTGTCAACATTCTCAAAGATGCTAAAAAAAAAACACATGAAACATTTCAAACTGCTATGACTTCTGTGAAGAATAATGTTAGTTGATAACAGTTGCATCAGCACTCATCCAGTGTGCTAAAAGGCAAACTAGCCTCTACAGGGCAGACAGAGGCAGTTTAATTACCATATACATATTAGTGAAAACAAATTATGAAACTCATTGAAAATCTCTCTGACAACAGAGCTGAAAGAAGCTTACTGTTACCAAAGTGTATGACTTTGGTGAAAAGCTCATCCAGTGTAGGGAAACAAAAAAACTAGCCTTCTTGATGGACTACACTGCCCTGTTTTTTTTTTTTTGTTTGTTTTTTTTTTTTTGCTATTTTGAATTACCTTACTTGTCCAGCAAAAATCCTGCAACCTCTGCATCCAGTTTAAAGACCTGCTTCATAAAAATAATGTCTCCACCTGGGAAAAGCTTTGCTGATGTAATTTTCTTCTGGTTATTACTTCATTTTCTTGTATTGTTTGTTTTCCTCGCCTCTCATTAGACAAAGAGTACAAATGCTCCTCCATTTTTTTTTTTTTTTTTTAATACAGGTAAAGTGTGATGAGTTGACAAATGTGTCCCCTTTCGGCTACTCTGTTCAAAAATAGCTACGGAACCTAGTATTTCCCATTGTATATAACAAAATGCATTAATTTTTGACATGTTATTAGACTTTGGCACAAAATACATTTACTGTATCAAAGCAATACTTGATTTTTAAAAATTAAAGTGAAATGTTTTACATCATTTCCCTTAAAAAGCAGTTTTGTTTTAATTTAAATGCTTAACCTCTTCTGTATTGTCAGTGCCGAAACATTTCAATCACCATGTGGGGACATGTTAGTTAGGGACATTCCCAGGCTTAAAATGTGCCATAGTACTGTTAAAGCACTATTAAAAACTGAAATAAAGGGGATGAGTAGAGCATAAATTCCTAAACTAACTCATTGACATTGTTTTATTTTTCGGGGATTATCTTTATAAATATATATTTTTATATTATTTTATTATTTCCATCAATGGGAGGAATAGGGAATGGAATATTGTTGGCGTCTTCTCTGTAAATTTGACTTCCCAGAAAGCTTACGGTAAGTACTGTACACTGTCTCTTCCATTTTTGTGGGACCAGTTAGTAGTATGCCCCTTACTGTTAGGGTGTGGTTCTGGGTTTGTGGACCTTTATGTGAAAAAACAATGCAGATCAGAACAATATATTTGGAGATTTATTAACTTAAGGAACATAGTGAGTGTTGGAAGAGGGAGACAAACAACAAAGGAGTAGCTGAAAAGCTGAATTTAACACTGGGGAACAATGCAGAGGGCAGCAAAAGAAGGAGGGGAATTAAAGCTTAAATAGAGAAGAACTCAGTTGCAGGTAAAAATGGCAACACAGGTAAACTAAATCGACTAACTACTGAAAACTCTGAGAATGAAATGTTAAAACAGGGGTAAACATTGAAATACACAGAGGGAACCTATTCAAAAATATGGGAATAACCACCACCTTACAGACAAAGCCAACTAGAAAGACTACAACATGCAAATGAAAAAGACTAGAAAACAACTGTGAAAACTAATATACAAAAGTAAATCGACAGACTCCAAATAACCCAAAACCATGACACTTACAGCATGTATTAGAATTGCATTTCTTTCCTGGATAGCTTGTAACATTGCCCATTCCAGTTGAAATGACTAAAGGATTACAGATAGCAACAGATTCCTGAAAACCCCTCTTTCATTTTCCCACATGTATGTTCATTTCTTATTTGCAAACGCTAATTCCTTTTTTAATACAGTCATCCCCAACTTCAACTATTGATGAAATTACACTTTGTGTAGCTCAGTTAATTTGTTTCAAACTAGACAGAAATGTGCCTTATTTGCAAAATGTTCTTTCCTTTATCTGTAAGATGTTATATTATTGCTTAAAAAATGACTTGCAACTGCATGGAAACAGCAAATGCCTAAAAAAAGACATCAAGGCATACAAATACATCTTTGTAAGAATCCATTTGACAGAGTAAAAGAGAAAAAAGATTTTTTAGAATTAAATTACTTCTATCAGGCACCACAGATTTAATATTACCTCAATATACAGAAACGATGTGCAGTAAAATGGCTGGTTGTTGTTTATACCTAAATTATCCTAATAGACTCAAATCACCTTTATTCTTTGTGTTGTATAATCATTTAAATAATGCTTTAATCAGTACAAGGGCAAAGTAAAATGCTCCTTAAGCATAGGACAATGAACAGGAATAATGATTCCTTGGTCAAGCTTTGTGTTGTCCACTTATTGTAAAGACCAGGCCTCCATTATCCTAAATTACTTGATGGTGAGTGGATCTTGTAAACATGGAGTGAGTAAAAGCAAGCCAATATCATTGGAGGCTAATACATCTTCCCGTAATGCTGGACTCTTGGAGCTAAATAGAAGCAATGTTGCCGCCTTTCTTGCCATTTTGGGGTAAAATACATTTGTTCTACCTACAGAGGGTGAGCATGCAAAGTTTAAAGATACACCCACGAGAAAATATACAGTCAAATATACAGGCATAACAACCTCAAGAGTACAATCGGTGCAGCTTCTTGAAGTTATATGCATTAAAAATAGGTTTTCTGAGAGCTACTTTAGCTTTGATAGCTATTGTGCCCACTGTTGCAGTGTCTTTCTAGCAGCTTTTCTCACATTTCTTGGAATGTTTATGTTATTCTGTCTCATTTCTGTTTGTGACTTAGGTAGAAACACCTCTGCAAACCATGAATGATTAGTCATCATGAAAGTCAGTTTGCTGGGGATCCATTGAGTTTCACAGTAGCATAGCAAATCCAGTTGCATTAGGTTTCTATTGGGTCTGGGTTTGCATGTAGTTAAAAAAGACACTGAGGTCCTCGACTCAAGAGAGGGCAACCATGAGAAACCAGGTGGCACACGGGAGCAGTGGTTAGCTCCACTGTCTCACAGCAAGAAGGTCCTGGGTTTGTGAAAACCATATCATGATCCCTGCTTGGTGTCTCACAACACCCTGACTTTGGGTGCCTTATTGGATTTTTCCAAAAATAAATCTTCTCTCATGCCCATCTCAGATTTTAGTCCTATGAGAAGAGTGTTGGTTGGGTAATGGGGGGAAAATACTTAGGAAAACCCAAGACTCTGGATGATATAGACCTATTGTACAAAAAAGGATGACCTAACCATCTTCCCTTTTTTATGTTCCACCTTCCATGTTGTTATTAACTGAAGGTGCCCAAGTCCAGTCCTCGAGAATTATCATCCTGCAGGTTTTAGATGTATCTCTTTTCTATCACATCTGAAGCAACTGGCCAAATTCCCCTATTATCATGACTTCCAGCTCAGCAGAGGGTTGATGAAGAGTATTTTATTTGATCCCAGTGAAATGCAGATGGGATGCTCCTAGAAACGTGCATCACAGGACCTCTTAAGGATGGGATTGTGGCACCCAGATTATCAATGAACACCAGTAATTGTGTTATAATAACTACATTCCAGGAATCTTATAAAAATATTTATTTTTTTTCCATTGACGAAATGCAGTCAAGTTCCATTTATTATTTTTTCAGAGTTTACATATTAATTGGGAAATTATGCTGCTTCCAAAGTGGGTAAATCTAAGGACTGCTGAAAATCTTAACTGGTGGGGCAAAACAGTATTGACTTTAATACTCAACTTTGGTGGTTCTGTCAGACGAT